GTGTGTGTGTGTGTGTGTGTGTGTGTGTGTGTGTGTGTGTGTGTGTGGTAGGGGGTAAAGGGTGGAAAGAAGGGAGAAGGGGAAGGCCAGATCACTGTCCAGTTTCTCCCAGTCAGAAATTCTCAAACTGTCATTTATTTGCACAAAATACTGTAAATTCCCAGATCAGACACACCGATATTCACACATAAGGCCCCAAAATGTGCTGCAAAGTCAAAAATAAATGATTTTTGGATAATCCTCACCACTGTTTGCTTCCATTCGCGTGGATAATTGAGTTGACTGGATGTACTGAGCGCCCCCTGTGTGTGTAGCTCTGGGAGGTTTACAGAATGTGGACCAGATGCAGTCTTGCCCTCAAGGAGCTTACAATCCTCTACCCAATGGAGTCTCCCATCCTCTGTTGCTCCTCCCTCTTTTTCTCCCCACGTCGGCATCACGCATCAGGTTCCCCACCTTGTACTCCTGTGCAGCATCATCCAGTGGCACGATGGTGTGAGCCCGATGGGCATGGGAGATCTCGCACACCAAGCATACAGGTTCCTGGTCCTCACAGCAAAAGAGGTTAAGGGCTTCATGGTGCTGGGGGCAGAGACTCTCATCTCGGGTCTTCCGCTTGACGGCTTGTAGCTGTTTGGCGATTTCCACCATGTTGCCCAGTTGCCTATTGGGCCGGAGGCTGCGATAACGTGATGTCTTGCGGCACACAGGGCAGGGGAAGTCTCTTTCCAGTTCCTCCCACCAACGGGTAATGCAGGCCCGACAAAAATTATGCCCACATTCAATGATGACAGGCTCCTTCAGGTACTCCAGGCACACTGAACAGCTTGCCTCTACTTGTAAGTTCTCCAGGGCTGTAGCTGCTGAGGCCGCTGAGGCCCCCGCCTCAATCAGGCCTGTATCTGCCATTATTCACCTGATAGTAGGAAAGAAAAGGAAAGAAGGTGGATTGAGTTTCAATTCTTTGGTGCCCTAGTCCAACAAACAGTCTCATCCCTCATCCCTGATCCCAATATTCCTGTATGATCCTAGGTCTGGATGCCACTAGGTATTCTCATCCAGGCATTTTCCATATTACCTTGCCCTAGCCTAAACCTTCCATACCATACCTTTTGAAAAACATATTTACCACAGTTTTTATTTCATTTACCCTGCTCTCAAACTCTGTACCTTTTATTATGTTTTCCTGCTCTGTTTCTTTGGCACATCCCCTCTTCTGTTCTTGGGTTCTTCTATAGATCCCCATTCTCCTCCCACCTCTACATCCCATTGTGCTGGGCAGTAGAAGGGATACAGAGTTTAGATAAGATAGTTCCCCTGCTTTCATAGTACTTTTCTCCTTTGATTCTCCGTGAGGTATGCAGGACATATAGACATTCCCAGCACAATGGTCTGCATATTGAAAGACTATAAATAAACATTACACAAATGCAAAGTATTAGTATACAGTGTATCTAAATAAAATAGTCCTGTAAAAAAATTTGGTAAAAAAAAAAATTTTGTTTTGAAGAAAATCAAGTGGTTAGCTCCTCTTTACATACATTCCTAGTCTGACACTGGTCCTTTGCAGACATAGCAGGTACTTTGGAAATGTATAAAGTCCTCCAAAAGGCAAAGTACAATAATTATCTCATATTCCACACCTTTTCATTTAAGTTATTCCAAAACAAAACATAGCAAATAGGATCGTATATTTTTATAGTTGGAAGGGGTCTTTAAAGACCATCTAGTCTAATTCCTTCATTTACAGATCAGGAAGGTGAAGTCCAGGTATTAAATGACTTGCCCAAGTTCATATAGGTGATTTTGCAGTGACATAAAACTGACTAAAAGAGCTATCTTCTCTTGGAATAGCACAGTTCCACTTAATAAACATACCTCATTCTATTCAATAGGATGTTTGCACAATCCTTCACCATACTTTTAAAAATGAAACTTGACTAGGCCTAGTAAGTTTCATGGTGTTCCAAGTGAGCACTGTTCTAATAGCAAACTATTAAGGTTTATTACTTCGAGTATGCTCCCAGTCTTCTCATCCTTTCATTAGTTACTCCTATTAACACTGCTTTACAAAATTATTTTTCCTCAAGTCAGCTGATAAATTACCAGAGTGCATCAATTTGAATCCAACTTATCAACATAACTAAGAAAAATAGTCAACTCTTAAGGTATGGGATACCTCTGCTTATTACACAGACATTTACTTCAAGCAGTGGGTTCCAACCTGTAGAGCAGAGCTAAAACAAAGGATCCATATTTCATTACATGACTTAGTATAATAAGTAAGCAAACATACCTTCTGGAGGCTCAATATATTATGTCACATATATGCATTTATTTTCAAATCTATGTGGATGGATAAAATACAAATTCATTTTAAAGTTAATAAATTCATAGTAGCCTTGTCATAATATATCTTCTCAATCAATAGATAATAGTACAACTGTCATCATATTAAGATTCTAGAATTTTATTCCCCTCAAAATCAAAGCTTCATCTGAATACCAGAAAAGGTTAGAAGCCACTGAAGCTTCGCTATCAAAAATAATCCCTCCAAAGCCCTTCTCAATTTTACAGGCAAACAAAATTCTTGTTAATTAGATCATTAACTGAAGTTTACTATTACATTATTACTTAGTTCCCAGGACTAAAACCTCCTTGTTATTTTTGACCTTCCTCTCTTCCTTCATTCCTAATTCATAAAGTTACCAAGTCTTGTCACTTTACTTCTGAAATCTTTGCCACGTGGCCTTTCTATAGTCCCACTGCCCCCACCCAATAGGCCCTTATTACTATGTTCTCTTCACTCCATTGACAATGCCACTTCCCTGGTGCAAGTCTCATTCCCTCACATCTGGACTATTAAATAAGACTGCTGGTTGGTCTTCCTGACTAAAGTCTCTCCCTGCTCCAGTCTATCTTCTACTCAGCTGTCAAAGTGAACTTCCTATAAAATGCAAGTTCAACCCATGTCACCCTCCTCCTCCTCCCCCCATTCAATAAACTCTAGTAAGCTCTAAGATAAAATTACAAAATCCTGTTTAGCTTTCAAAGCCCTTCAGATAACTTGGGCCCTTTTTACCTTCCCAGTTGTCTTATATTTTATTCCCCTCCATATACCCTATGATCCAAGGACACCACCCTCCTTGCGGTTCCTCCATAGTAGTCCATCTTTCTGACTCTGAATTTTCACTGGCTGTCCACCTGGATGCTCTCTTCTCTCCAAGTTTCCACCTCCTGGCTTCCTTCAAGTCTCAGTTATGCCATGTTTTGTAAGAAGCCATTCCTGGTCCTGCTTAATGCTAGAGTCTTTCCTGTGTCACTAATAACCTCTACACTCTTCTGATCTCAAACAGCATTGCTGGACGCAGAAGAGCCAGAGAGGGTCAAGACCTTGGGCAATTCACTTAATCTAGGACTGTTTCCTCATCTGGAAAATAGTAATCTCACTAATCACGGGGTTGTTGTGAAGAAAGTTCTTTATAAATCTTGAAGCCCTATGTAAGAATTTATTGTTATTATTACATACCCCCTACTAGGCTGAAAACTGAGGGCAGTAGTCAAGTAGTACTTGAATCTCTTCCAGCACCTACCTAACACAATGGCTAACACACAGTAAGGCTTAGTTTTAGGTCAAGTTTATGATGCTGTAAAGCTGTATTTATGTGCGAGGAGCAGTGCTAATTAACAAGCTGGCTTGAGGAGGCAGGAAAACCAGGTTTTAAGTCCTACCTTGGACACATAATGGTTGTGGGACCCTCGGAAAATCAGCCAACCTCTCAGTGCCCAAGCAATTCTGTAAGACTGAGCTGCACAACACGTGTTGCTTTGAATTAATAGACTTTGCTTCACCTAGAATTTCAATATTCTTACACCACCAAAATCAGAGGTCCCAACTAGGAAAGAAAAAATATAAGCACTGGGGCCCCTTATATAACTGGTGTCTAACAGCACAGTTATATGGGATTTGGAGCATAATTTTATTACTATAAATTAATCAGAACCCACCAAATGAATCTGAGACATCTGAACTTCATTATGGATGGTGACCGCTACAGCACTAAGGAGGTCCCATGGGAAAAAGTTAAAGAAGCCCTGACCTAGGGGGTCTTAGCTATTACATGATCACATTCTCTGAACATCCAACCAAACTGCAAAGGCTTCTGGAAAGAGACTGTTCAGAGGCTGTGTCTGCTGAGAATCACCCCATGGTCAATGAGGCTCATCTTCAGACTGGTCACAGGTGAGGAATTTCTGATCCAGAATAAAACATTAAGATTATCTACTAAGAAATGGAAGTGTTCTAATTTTTATGTTTTTCAGAATACCCTCCATGATGAAATCATTAGTTCATTGAAATACAGAGATATACTATATAAATATGTTTGCTTTAACTATTGGTCACACTTATAAATTATTTGACGACAGATTCTATAAGAACAGAATACTCCAATTTCTGCTGCTTACAAATATGCCCAAGTCTCCCCTATTCCTTAAACCTTCACTAGACTCTATACCATCTACTCAAGCTATCATCCATCCACCTTTTCTCAGTCAAACTCCTAGAAAAGGCTATCTATAGATCTTCTTTCCTGACATCATATGAGGAAGAACTATAATACTGGCCACTTCTTGCTTTAAATTCCAAATCAAGAATTTTCTTATGTATTTTAGACACCATATGAAGTCACTAAAACTTTCAGAGCAAGGTAGTGGTGTGGTGAGACCTGTGCTTACTGGCTACTCTTGACACAAAACATTTCCTCTCCTCTCACCTTTCAACCTTAAGCAATGTCTTCCAAACACATCATTTATCTGAAATTGCTCTCTTTTGAGTTACTAATGTCCCTCTTCATGTCTAAATTTGATGATTATTTCTAAGTCCTTGACTTTCTTGACCCTTCTGTAGCTTTTGACACTGTTGATCACCTTCGCCTCCTAAATGCTCTCTAAGTCTTTGTTACACTACACTGGTTTTACTACTACCTGTCTGACCATGCCTGCCCAATCTCTTTTGCTGTTTATTTATCCATATATTGGCCCTGTGGGTCAAGACTCAAGGCTCGTGTATGGAACCCTCTCTTTCTCACTTTATACTCTTATTTGGTGACATCAACAGCTCCAGATCCCATGGGTTTAATTATCCATGCAGATGACTTGCGGATCTACATCAAGCCTCAGTCCCTCCTGAGATTGTCAAAATATCACCAATTGACATCTTACAGATAACAAAATTGAGGCTCATAAATTAAATTAAACTCATGGAACACAATTAGTAACATAAGAGATTAAAAAAAAAAGGATTTAGATTCAGGTCTCCTAAGTTCTACTACAAGTATCAGAATGAGGATTTTAGAAACTACATCTCTTCTTCTCCCCATAACCAGGACTTCAGATCTGTCTGGCCTACAAGGCTCATACTCTTCATACTGGGCCTTTCCAAGCATTATCATTATCATTATCAATACTCAAAACTGTGTAAACATTTTATTGAAAGAATTAAAGGAGGCATACCTCCCCATCAAAATTCTGTGATACATACAAAATGAACATTTTCCTCTCTACTCTAGGACATACCAAATTGTCAACTTCTACCACTCACCTGTTATCTACTATTTTTCCCCATCCTCCAACTTGTCCCAATCATTCTTCTCTCCTAGAGTTGCTCTTCATCTTTCTTCTAGGCCTATTCCTCACCAATTTTTTCATACACCTCCTCATGGGTCATTCATCCCCCACTCTTTCACAGGACTTGAATTGGGATGAGGATGGATGCCACCCTGCTTCTTTTCAGGAAGGCCTGATAGATAAAGCCAGCAAAAAGTAACATGATGTTAAAAGGTGCGCACTTTGCCCCTCTGTTCTAACTGAAATGATCCACAAAGTGCTCCATTGCTCTTTGGGCACATTTTGTCTGAACATGCTCCTGATACTGGAGATCTATTCATGTTGGTGCACACATTTAAAGTGTTGCAAACATGTGGCACCCATGTTCAATAGCGACAAGGGTAATGCCCTGTAGGCTCAAGGAAATCACCCTTTGAAAACAAGAAAGGTTGTCAAACACACTCCCAATTAGTTAGCAGTGATGAGATTTTTTAACATGGATCACTCCAGCACATTCCAGAAACACATTCTACTTCATTCCATCAAATCCATCAAAAAGTATTTATTGTATACTATGTGCTGCTACAAAATCTGCTAAGCAGTAAGGATAAAAAAAAAAAAAAGAAAAATACCAGTAAGCTTGATCTTTTCACTAACTCATTCTGCCTTTATCCTTCCCTCCTCCAGGATCCAAATTCTGTAACTACCTCAAGTCCATACTCCCTTATACCTAATTCATAGCTTACTGCCAAAAACTATTTACAGAGCTCTCTACTAAACACAATCCACTGGCCAAATTATCTTTCTTCCATTAGGTCAACAATAATGTAAACAAAATCTGCCAACAAATCATCTCAAAGCAGAATGATTTTAATGATCAATCTTTGCAGTATGAAAGAGATAAGGAAAGCTCCTCCCTTCTCTCTAAAAAGTTGGGAACCTATAGGAATAGAACATTGCATACCTGTTCAGAAGTGTCAGTCATTATGTTGATTTGCTTAATTGGTTTTCTTTGTTTCAAGGTAGGGTTTAGGGGGAAAATAACTGACACAAAATCTGTTTAAAAAAATGCAACTTCATCCAGTCCAATCTCTAATCACAGAAGAGTTTTCACCCTTTATACCTATAAAAATATAATGTTCAACCTCTAACAAATCCTATACTCACTTTTTACTTTCTTCTCGACCTATATGGGGAACACACATCCTCTCTATGCCATATCACAGGTCTCTTTTTTATGCCTAACACCAGGAAAACTCTAAATGGCCCAAAGAGAACAAAAAACTTCTATGACCAGCAAACAAACTAATGTCTAACATTACACCTTCTCCTGACTCATTTTCTCTATTATTAGATTCTGATTTTTTTTTTGGGGTGGGGAAGAGAAGGGAAAGGGAGGATAAGCAGTAGTACAGTATCTCTCATTATGCAGTAATGCATAATAAAGCTTAGAAATAAAGGATGTTAAAGAAAAGGAAGCTGGGATTCTTAGACATTCTATATCTATTAGTACCTACCTAAGTTCATTAAGGTCCCCAATGGGGGAAACTAGCATTCATTTTCTTTCATCCCCAGAACCTAACATAATATATTTGGGATTAATAAGTATGTATTGATTTGCACTATAGTTCCCTGTGAATGGAGAGTAAGTTAGCAACAGGCCGTTCCTGTGTCATCCTTTCCTCATCAACCAGGAGATGAATTAAGTTTTTACATTTTTCTACCTGTAAGGAACCCAGCTCTAAGACCTTCTCTTGCCATGTTCATAAAACATCTAAAAGCTGAGAGGTTTACTCACCTGGGGAAGAGTTGTAGTCTCTGTAGCTTAGGAGCCAAGATTGAACAGGGCATTAGGATGGGAAAAGGGAAGGACCACCCAGCCCTGAAGAAAGAAAGGGAAAGAAGGAAAACGGTCAGATATTTAGAGGGGGAAGGGTCTATGGAAGGAGCCAAAGCCAAAACTCTGTTCCTACAGATACTGACTCTGTGGGTGGTGAAACAGATTCTCTTCCTCCTCCTCTGAACGTGTCAGTGGATGAAGTGCAAATTTTGTGGGAACCCCCATTCTGCTTCTCCCCATCTTTGGGGGTCTCTAACTTTACCATTCTTTTCTTCTAAGCATTGACCTCAACTCTGTCCCCAGTACACCCTTATTTCCTCTCTCCAGCTCTGCCTAACGTGACTTTGCAGGGAGGGAGAAGGATAACAAGGCCTCTGGCTGGCAGCAAGAGTGATTTTGACTCCAAAAGGAGGAGAGTTTCTCAGACTGTTATGATGGAGTGGAGGGTATCTATGACATCATGAAGTTGGGTAAGCAGGAGGATGACGAGCATCATGAAGAAAGTACGGCAGAGGGAAGATGGTAAGGCAGTGTAGCTAGACAACGCTGGACGCCCTGACATCACCAGGGCAGAGGTGACGTTGGCACCAGCCCCCCAAGCAGGAGGAGGAAGGCGATTGTTACGTGCTGGGGGTGGCAGTGACGTAGTAACAGGGCGCGGGGACGCTGGAGCGCAGAGCTGAAGCTGGCCAGGGAGAAAAGGGTAGCAGAATCGGGGGGCGAGGGGGAAGGTATTCCCACTTACCTCCCCCAGGTCCAGATCCGGGGGTCCGGGGGACCGGAGCCGCCGAGGCCACTGCCTCCTCCTCCAGCCCCCGAAAGATACACACAATACACACCGGAAGCGGAATCTACGCTCCACGAGTCCCACCCCGGGCTGAAGCCTCGCTGCCCACAGCCGGCTGGGGGGAGGAGCCCGTGATGCCATCGCCAACACGACGTGGGTATAAACTAGGCTCAACCCCGATCAGCTGGGGCGAGAAGGGATTAAGGAAAATCGGGTTAGGGCCGTTACGTTGTTCGCACCCAATGGACCCGCGAGGCCATCGCGAAAAGGGCGGAAGGAGAGGGAGGCGTTGGGAACGCACGCTTGCGCAGAGGCCCCAGGAGCTGGTAAAGTCTCCGAGAGGGGTGGTGTTGGCCAGGTTGGGGGTGGGGCATCGGAGAGCAGGCGCCCCGGAGCCATCTGAGGCCACTGAGAAGCGGGCGCGGGCTAGAGTGGCCGTGGTAACGGGGTGTTAAGCCCAGGTGGCCGCGGGCGCCCTCTTCAGCTGGCCTGGGAACTGGGGCGAGGTGAGTGAATCTTCTGATGGGAAGGCTGAACCACCACACCTCTCCCTACCCCCATGACTGGGCCTGGAAAGCAAACCTAGAGGGAAGCTAGGGCAGAACCCCCGGCGGTACGGTGGCCGGCCGTGCCCATTTCTCCTCGCACCCCTGGAGGGGAAGGTTTACCAAAATCAAAACTAAAATGGGAATTATAGTATTAGTTCAATTCACTGATCTGTCTGTCCCAAGAAAAGCGTTTTTACTTAAAGTGCTATGTGAATGTGAGCAACTCTTACATAGCGTTCCCTCTTTAAAAGAACAGATCAGTAAGAAGGCTCCCTCCCCCTTTCTATTAAATTACAGCTGGTAGGTAAACGTACTTTGAAGGTGGGGGAAAGAGGCGGCGTGGCTCAGTGCAAAACAAACAAACGTGCATTTGAACTCTGAAGACCTCTGTTTCAATCCCGATCCGGACCTCCCCTTTACTAAGGCCTTGTGTGAGTTTGAGCTCGAGCTTGGATAGAGAAGGCTCTTCCACCTCCGTGATTCTGGGAAATCTCAGGTGATAATGGCACGGGGGAAGTTTGCAGTCTTGGGAATTTGGGGGGAGGGGCAGCAAGAATTGGTTCTCGAGCAGGATCCTTTACCTCATGTGGGAGAATTCAAAGGACTAGGAGGGCGAACTATGCCCAGAAAGGTGTTGCTATTAAACTTGTAAAGAATGATGACAACTACATCCTTGGATACTGATCAACGTTGTTCAACTTAAGTTCAGAAAATTCCAAAAGTTTTGCTAAGCTTATTTGAAGAATTTTCAGAACTGAAGATCAGTTGTCCTTAGTTTTGTAAAGCATCTGCAAGTCATACCTTGAAAGCCCTGTCACGTTTTTAGTAAAGCTTTCACTTGAACTACTTTGCAAGAGCCTTCCAATTGGTCTCCCTACCTCCAGTCTTTTCCTTCTTCAATTCTTCCTTTATAGGGTTCTTCCAGATACACAATCATAATAACCACGTCACTGCCTCTTTCTTGCTAGCCTTATTTTGTACTTCAGACACTACATTTCAGCCAAACTGTACTTCTAGCTGTTCCTCAAGACATTTAGCACTCATATTCCTTGAGTTTTCCCCCATACCTGATATTATCTTTCACCACTTATCTCCCTTTTGAAATCCTCAACCTTCAAGGTCCAGATCACGCACCTAGAAGCCTTTTCAGATCTCTCTCCCCAATTAGGGAGGGTATGTGAGTCTTCAACCAATAAGGAGGAAAAATGCATGAGTGTGTTGCCCCACTGGCTAAACTGAATATTTAACTGTTATAAGAAAACAACAGCAGAATATATAGAAACAACATACAACAACAACTAAAAGTTGACATTTTACATAGTACCCTAAGATTTGTAAAGCCTTTTACACAGATTATCTCATTCGAGCCTCACAACAAATCCCTTAAGGGACGTGATAAGCACTGATTATGGCCAATCAAAATATCCCCTGCTGGAACTGATTTTTTTCCTCTGATCTTAGAGTGCTTGTCCTGGGTCTCTGCTTTATTCTCCTTGTATCTTACCTGTTTGTGCATCCATCTTTCTCCCCTATTAATATTGTAAAGTCCTTGAGAGTAAGTTCTTTGTTGTTTTTTTCATGGATATACATACACAGTATATATGCATATCTATTTATAGATCTCTTTGTGTATATATAATACATACACATTTTTTCATCTTAGAATCCTTACTGTCCTTCAATGTTTAGTTTAGGTGTCACAAACTTAAGGTACCACAAAGTTGAAACCTCTTCGGATCTCCCCAGTTGTTAATATACTTTCTCTTCTCAATTTATCTTGTACATGCTTCTTTGTATAAATACTGTATTTCCCAAGGAAAATGTAAGTATTGAGGGCAGGGAATATTGTTTTTGTCACAATATTGATAGAGACTAGCACGGTACCTTGTAAGACAAATGGATTTACTAAATGTTGGTTGTATCAAATGAAAGTTCAGCAGTTCACAATGATGAGTTAGAAAGGAGTGAAGGGCAGATGGAGCAAGCAGGATGCAGGATGTCAGATATGAGATACAAGATAAGATGCAGGATGTGACCAGCCAGAATAGTGATCAAAGAAGACTATGTATTGAATCCCCCCATTGTGGACTTAATTGTGTGCTTTCACAAAGTACTCCCAATTACCTGACATTCCAGAACAACTTGTCCCCTCCCCTTTCCTGTTCCCTTTGTTTATCTGTATGGACTTGGTTCTACCTGATACCCCAGGCATTCCAGAGCCATGCTTGCGTCTCTTCCTCTTCTTCTGTTAAACTATATTTAAGATCAGACGGCTAACCTGGCCAATCACTCTCCTTCCCACAGGGGAGCAGGGCCCACTTGAGTGCGTCACCCCAATCAATGCCTTTCTTTAACTGTCAGAGTGAATTCCTTCAGGACACTAGAACCCACACTACAACCCGTCTGTACTCCAACATTTCTAGTACCTATCATTTCTGGATGCTTGCTTCATCTGCCTAGAGCACTCTTTTCTACTTCATCAACAACCTCTTAAGAAATTGAAAAATGTAGAGGACTATAGGAAAATTCTGTTCTGGTTCCTTTTTTCTTCTCTCCTCTCTCTCTTTCTCTCCTCAATCCCTTGGCAATCCCATCTGCACCTCATCTCTAGACATATTATTCTTAAATCTATAAATACTCTGCCTCAATTGCTCCTTGAGCTCAAGTCCTACCTGGGTGTCCTACTGGCATCTCCAACTCAGCATGTCTAAATTATCTTCTTCTTCCCATCTCCTTCACCCCTCCCCTACTTGTCCTTCTTGTTTTTGCTGATGATAACACAACCATTCAAACTCAAAATTTCCAAATTATCTTTGACTCTTTGTTTCTCCTTACCTTTACAATTCCTTAACTGTCAAGACCTTTAGCAAATCACTTAAGTCTCTATCAACCTCATGCAATCCTCATTTGCAAAATGGAAGTAACAACACCTGCATTATTTATATTATGAGTTTCTTGTCAGAATTAAATGAAGTAATGTCTGCAAAGTGCTTAAAAAAACTTTGGTGGTTGTTGTTTTAGCTCGAAGAGGACCAAAATATCACTATGTTGGGGTCAAGGTACAATGTGTCTGACTGTGGCTTATCAGACCAATATGAGCTCAGAAGGCAATACCACAGGTTGGGCACAAATAGTCCATGTGAACATTTGCAGCGGAGCTGTTTTTACATTTTCACATCTCACGTTTCTTTTGAGCGCCTTCTTTGATTTGGGCACACCATGCTGGGTGGTCCTGTGCCAGTCTCCCATACTAAAGTTCTTCAGAGAGACCTTGAGAGTATCCTTGTATCACTTTTTATGACCTTGTGAGCACTAAGCGCCTTGTGTGAGTAAAACCTTAACATGCTATATAAAAGCATCTATTCTCATTAAATTTCACCAGATTTTAATAGGTGCCTACTATGTGCAAAGCATTGTATTAGGTGATAGATATACAAAGGGGTCAGGGAGACACAGGATTAAATCCTAACTCAGACACATTAGCTGTGTGGCCCTGGACTAGTAACCTAACCTCTCTCAGCCTCAGTTTCCTTGTTGGTAAAATGGAGCTCCAGGCCTGAGCCTCCATGGCTTACAGTTTAGGTTCTGATGGCTTAGAATAAGTGTAAACAGCAATTGTTTTTCTATGAGGGCCAGAAACTTTGAGGGTCTTCCCCTCCCAGATTGATTTATTGACTGGTTGATCTTAAGCATTGGGGATGAAAGTA